AATTACTTTGTTTACATTTCGGATACGAAAATAAAAGTCAGCAGATATATGGATGAAAAGGTCTTAATGAGATATGCGTATATTGGGGAAGTCCAAATGGATTAACGGTCTAAAGCAGATCTGGTTTGAAAGTATCTTCCCGAAAGAGGACACAGGTTCGATTCCTGGCGGAAAGCAAAATAGTCTTTATTTTGATTGTTCAGGATGGTATACATCAAATACATTGGTTAAAAAGAGAGGGGTCTCTACTCAATCACACGTAGCTACTAAATATAACGTAAGAAGAAACACACATAATTAGTTTCTTTTATTGCACAGCTTGATTATGGGATTCTCTCCCGGCTTCTTGCTTTCCAGACAAGTTTGATCTTCAAAAATTTAAATGCAATGTCAATCGTTATCTACTGCCTTTCTGATTACTCTTCTATTGTTCTCGCTCCTCAATAATGCTTCTATTATCTAATTCTCTTATAACCAGTAACCCCTTATATCTTAGTGGCTTTACTGCCTTACATGGGTTGAATTCGATTCAAAAAATGTTATTTTTAAATCTTTGCACTCCCAATTGATACTCTATACTAAATTTTGCTTCTTTTTGAATTTCTGGAATTAGGAGTTGGTGATATAGTAATTTTGAGTGCAGTTGAGTAGTGTGTACTTGTACTAAGTGTAAACAGGGCGAGCAATAACTGATCAGTACTAAATAAGAACAAATATATACCTGCACTAAGACAGCGAAACGAGAAATATCTACACCCGTAGATTAAATAGAGTTCAGTTTGAAATTCTGTGGAGATTATCTGGATCGACACGCATCTGATGAAGGACGGAGGACACAACGGCCGAAACGCTGCGATAACGACAACAAAGATGGGGTTAATAGTCCGCGTGAAAATAGTGTAAATTAGATCTTAGTTTCCATATCAAGTAGGTTTTCAAGTGTTGAAGTTGCTGGCTACACGCCTAACTGGCTTAGGATTCGGATTTTTTCCTTCTCTGACACTGGTTGCCAACAAAATCTCTGCTGTTATCTCTAAATAGATTCATATGTTTCCTAATATTATTTTGTTCAAAAGCATATAGTTTGAACCCGGTACGTCAATCCCACTTTCCACACCGATAACCGCTCACATCCGCTCCTTAACCATACCTACGAACAAAATATAAAAAAAAACAACCTTCTTCTTAGACATCCTTATCGGATCCAGTTGTTACCGCTTTATTATCTCTCTATTAAAAGCTAGTTCTAAAGTTAGCCTTCTTAACTACAAAAGTGTATGTTCACACACAAGCCGTACTTACCGCCAAATTTTTAGCAGTTGTGGTATTTTTACAGGGTTTTATTTTAACAAAATACAATAAAAGAAAGAAATAAAAAAAACCCAAAAAAACAAAAACAAAAAAATCTATCAATGCTAGGAAGAATAAAACTTTCAGAAAAATCTGATGAAAGAGTTCTTTAAAGGTGTACAATAATGGTAAAATTTTCCTTTATGTCAGTGTTGCGTTTTCGTTTTAATTCGGAATTGTGATGAGTCCAGTAAAAATCAAATCAAATCAAATATAAAAATGAAAATGTACAAACAAATAGAAAAGAATTCAAATTAGAAAAAAAAAAAACATTTGCTTTCCCTTAAATTCCTTATGTCTTTTTCTATCTTTCACACTGTTTCTCTCTCTATATATATTTCTCTCTGAAATAAAAAAGGCCGAAAAACACCGAATATTAACGGTCCAACGGCTCATTTGTGGCAAAAACTTGCCGCTAACCATGTAGGCGGCCTTTGATAACTTAAGGCTAAATTCTAATTTTTTTTGCACCCCCACGCCCGCAAAACATTTGTCTCTGCTACGGCCCTCTCACATCGATATAAAATAGCTATTATATAAAAAAAAAATTAACAAAGTCAAATAAACCACTTCTTCTAAAACAATTTCTATAAAGATTTAACCTTAAGCAAATATTTGTCAAAAATAGCTTCTCAAATTACATCGGCGATAAAAAAGATAATAAGATTTTATTTAAGGAAGATTAGCAACATTTATAAAAGTGCCAACAATGAATAATAGGAACAACACGATTATTTCATTTGATTTTAATCAGATACAGTGAAAATATAAGATGGAATAACTATAAAAATATAATAAAGTCAACAGACAGAAATAAACTTCAACGATTTATTATCTATAATTAAAAGTTTATTTAAGCTTACTAGAGAATAATAAAACCTCAATAGAATCAAATCCTCGACATAAGACTGCTGTTTACAGAATTTCTTGGCCTCCTGGAGATTGTATTTCAAATAATAATAATAATAATAATAATAATATAAAACAAAACAAAAAAAAGTGCCTCCTTATTGATATGGCAGTCCCTGCAGACTGCAATGTATCTTTGAAGATATTCAAAAAGCTGTCAAAATACAACGACCTTGAAATTGAAATCTCAAAAATGTGGCACATGGGAACATCAACAATCCCTGTTGTAGTAGGAGCCCTAGGATTGGTTGGAAAAGATTGCAGTAGACTAATTGAAGGGATTCCTGGAAGCCCATGCCTCAAAGAGATACAAAAAATTGTTCTGACAAGTACAGCCCACACTTTACGAAGGGCTTTATCTATGTAATTTTTTTTTTTTTTTTGTCAGTGGAAAGTGTCATGATGCCATTTCTAACCTTAGGTCTCTGGGCGGGACCCGGAAAGAAATGTGTAAACGCCAGAAATCAAAGAAAATAAAAATAATAATAATACCAATTCTTCTCCTCCTTCTTCTTCTTCTGTTATAATTCACCTTGTCCCTTGCTTTGTTAGTTCGCTCGACCATTACACCGTGCCAATACCTCACATATTGAACGAACTTGTGCGAATGGATGGCGGGACGGGGTGATAGCGTTAGTAAAGAGAGAAAAACCGCTAAAGGTCACGAGGTATAGGAAGATGTGGAGAGCCATGCTCGCTTATGTCATGACGGCACATGGGAGAACAATCCTCAGGTTTTGGTGTTAAACTGAGGTCAGCATGTTCTGGTACCATGATAGCGGAATAGATGGGGGCTTAGCAAGAGGAGAAAAACTTTTGAGGCACACCAGAGAGGAAGTTGTGGAGAGCTGTGATCGTCTGTGTCCTGAATGGACGCAGTATATAGAAGAAGAAGAATTTAAAATGTATTTAAATTCTCGAAACCGAAATAATGCTACATTCATTTGACATCTCAAGCATTCAAATAAAAAAAATGTGAATCATATGAGATCACATGCATTCAAAAATGAAAAACGTATTTAAAATTTGATTACTGGATTGTAACAAAATAAGCTATGACTCTTGAAGTTAGTAGTGTTGTGACCAAGTAAATGGTTAAAGAAATAACAAGTGTTGCAGATATATCATATATTAAACAGTAAGTACACCAGAAGAGTATTACACGACTATTGAGTGGGTGTCGGTTGACCCAGCGTTCAATCTATTCGACTGTTATATTTACCAGCCTCCCCACGAGGTAGGATGTGGCACAAGGCCGAGTTTAATGTAGGGCAATCCGAGCCCGTAGGCTCGGCCAAAAATTCCCCATAGACCCCGTATAAAACGTGGTCGGGTAGCTGTTTCCCGAGACGAGACTCTCCACTTCGACATAACCTGGTCTGGGGATCTTCTCTGCCCGGTGGCAGAGAGTTTGACCGGCACAGCTGGAACAGATCTATTTGACTGTTAATATTTAGCAGCCCCACGAGGGTAGATGAGGGACAAGGCCGATTTTAACGTAGGTCATCCGAGCTCGTAGGCTCGGCCAAAAAATCACCGTAGAACCCGTATAAATGGGCTCGGTTCTGTCTACCTCTCCGGACGAGACTCTGCCCTTCGGCACAGCCTCGGCCGGGTTCCTCTATATCCAAAGGCAGACAGTTCGACAGCAGCTGCGAAAAGTCACTGCCTCGGTAGAACAATCTATTCGAACGTTATATTTAACAGCCTCCCCCCACCACCACGTAGGATTTATGTGGCACAAGGCCGAGATTACCGTGGGTTTTCTGAGCCCGTAGGCTCGGCCCAAAATATTCCCTTTGAACTCGCTTTTACCGGGTAAAGGGACTGTCTATTTCCTCGGACCAAACTTTGCCTTTCGGCAAAGCTTCGTACGACTTCCTCTCTGCCTCGGCAGAGAGTTCAACAGAAATGAAGTCTGGTCGACTGCTATATTTAACAGTCCCCCCCTCACAAGGAATGTATGTGGCACAAGGCCGAGTTTAACGTGGGTTTCTCCGATCCCGTAGGCTCGGCCAAAAATATTCCCTTTGAACTCGCCTAAACGGGTTCAGAGACTGTTTACCACCCCGGACGAAACTTTGCCCGTCGGCAAAGCTTCGTCCGAGTTCCTCTCTGCCGAGGCAGAGCGTTCAATAGAAATGAACGGTTCTGGTCGACTGCTCCCCCAAGGCCTTCTCTCCTACTAATATAATAGTAGGCGGAAGAGTCTAACATAGATTCTTTAGAGGGAGGACGCCACAACAGTAGAAAGCTTGAAAGATAAAATAAACAGTCACAATCCCTGGACAGTTGCTTCAAATTTCAATTCTAAGAATTGGAAATTATTTTAAAATATAATGGACACAATTTGGTTATTTAACAAAACATGCATAAATGTACATGTATTGCTAAAATATACCGAATATATATTTTTCACTGCAGTGCCTTTGTAGCATATTTTCTTAGCAATTGTTTACTTAAATGATACATGAAGGACTTTGATTCGGTTTTTATGGTTTATCAACCCTTTGCAGGTAATTTAAAGCCAGAAAATATTTTTAGATTGTAAAAATCGTTTTTGTTGAAGATAATAATAATTTAGTGATACAAGTCTTAACCCATTGATGGGGGTGAAGAGGTTGATTCATTCTTTCCCAAGGGTATTTGCGCGTAAATGAATATAACGAATCCAGCGGCAATTGGTTCTGCGATTAAAAATTTCCGAGTCGTTAGACATTATACCACCCGCACATCCAAGGTTACGGCACTTGGTATTCCCAAGCAGTCACCCATCTAGGTACTGACCAGGCGAAGTTGCTTAACTTCGGTGATTGTACGGGAAGCGGAGTTTCAACATGATGTGGCCGGGACTTTGAGGGCCCGGTATTATCCATCACTATTTTATTTTATCAGCGTTATGCTCCTTTGCTGAGGTCCTATTGTTTCCCACGTTATCGAGCACTTTCTAGGCAGATTTTGATTTTTTTTCTGGTGTTCGTTTGCCTCCTATGTGATGGAGATTTTCCAGCATTTTCATCTTGCCCGTATGGGCATCACCCCACCTTCTGCTGGGTGTGTGCATAATAGTGATTTTCGAAGCCCGGCTTAGATGTGGCACAAGGCCGCGGTGTGTGCATAATAGGTACTCATTTTGAGTACATTTTATACCTGAGTCGCTATAAAATTCCCAGTTCCATAAAAAAAAAGTTACCGACTACCTGATGATATATATGTTTCATTGGATAATATAGACAAGATGTGTCTACTTATTTTTGTACTAATCCTTTCTAGTTGTTAAATCGGTTATTAAATTTAACACAACCGACTTAATCATACGCAATAACTCTTCTCCGACATCTAGCGTTTGGGAAAAAACGACATAGTATATCAGTTTAGGCCCCCTTTGGGCCATTGTATGTCCGACAAAAAAGTAAGTACATATGTCGGTTTGACGACCACAACATTATCAAGATATCTTACATTTCATTTGTCGGATATAAGTTCTAAAAGTAGTATTCCTGCCCACATTCACAATACAGGAAAATGTTTGTTGATAATATCAATAATACTACACCACAAAAATGATAAACAAAAAATCTATATCAAAATCAACTCAGCAACACTCAACAAAATTTATTACGAATATAGTAACAACATATTAAAGTGCATATAGCATTTAATGCCATTTTACATTTCTACTAATTTCTGGTCAGCTCTCTTCTATTGAAACGCTTGTTTTGCAAAAAAAATCCATAACTACAACGGATAAATTTAAAATTTTAAAATAATTAAAACAGAGCACTTAACTTTTAAATATCAATTTTATTCAAGGGATAAAATTGATATTCATAAGTAATCTTTTCATATAATATTATTAACGCTCTATTTTTTATATTAGTTGAATATTTTTAATTTTGAAAACTATATATAAAATATCTTCTCTTTCTTAAATCTTCTTTATATATATATATATATATATATATATATATATAGGTAAACTATACTCGTTTTTCGAAAAAACCCTCGAATTTTGATTTGCCAATAATCAAATCAAATTTTAAAAAAAGGTTTTAAAAAAAGAAAGAACTAGAAACATGAAAGTCTGTCAAAAAAAATCGCACAGATACAGGTTCAAAGCCCAAAGAAAAAAAAAACCGATACGAGTAAACAACTAACTAAAAAAAAAAGCTCAATACAATAGGCCAAAAATTTTGTAAGCATTATGTACAGAGGAGAAATTATTGAATAGCTTTATATAATCTTTTTATACGATCTATTAAACTCTAAAACCGAGATTCTTAACATATGTAGGCATAGAAAATATTGGTTATTGAATTAGGTCTAATCTCCCCGTTTGTATTGTCTCTTTAGCCAGCTTTTCCTGACGATCCGCTTAGGTGAAACCTGGGTAGGTTTGTCTGGCTCACTAGGTTTATCTATCTATCTATTATATATAGTTCTATCTATCTATCTATCTATCTATATGAATTTTTTAAGTGATGAGGTTTTGAGGAAGTGTTGGAAACACCTCTTAATTGACATTTGTCATGAGATCCATTTTTGACCCGAGGTGGTTTCACCTGTTTGGGTCCCATATTTTGGATATATAGTTAACCCCAAATTGGGACCAAAAAACACTATGAAAATATAAAAAATACATTTTATAGTAAAAATATTTTTCAATACTTATTTTCAGATAAAAAAAATACGAGCAATATATTTTGAATAAAAAAATAACAGCAATACATTTTTGTAAAAGAAATTGCTAATGCTTCCAAGAAAATTTAATTTCGGCATTTAAAGACCCATAAGATGTTGATATGCCGCTAAACAAACAAACAAACAAACAACCTGTGAGTGCAACGGATAGTGTCTTGGAATTAAAAAATCGAAGGAAAATTGAAATTAAAAGTAAACTTATGCTTGCAATCATAAAGCAACAGTTAAAATTTCTGTGACACATAATGAGGAAAGACGGCTTGGCGTATTTAATACTCACATATTATAATGAAGGCAATGGAAGCAGAGGGAAATAGCAAGTAACCAACATAATGAGGGTGAGTGGTTGAACAGAAAATAATGAGGGAGAGTAAGGGGACAAATATTCATAATCTTTTCCTGAATGTCTCGGGCAATATGCGGTCTCGCATTATCGTTTAAGAGCAACGTCCTTATACGATTAACCAATGATGGCCCCTTTTTATGCAGACTTTTATACAATGCTTCCAACTGACGACAATACTTCTCCCCATTTTCGGTTTCGTTTTGGTTTAACATTTCATAATAAACAATATCCTTCATAACTCGCTGAACACAGAGCATGACTTTTTCGGGCGTAGTCCTCGTTTTGGGGCAGATTCTCTTTTATCAGTGAGTTCTAACCATTGATGTTTTCGTTGGACATGTTTTTAGAGAACCCGCTTTTTATGTTTTTCATGAGTCGTGTCCTTTCAGGACGTAGATTATCATGGCTCTCCGGAATTTCCTGTCCTCCGTAGCTATTAATAATTTTTTTTTATTTCTCCTAAACTCTGTTCCGCTCTTCATTTACTCAAGCTTACTAAGTTGGTTATGCGTTATTTTCCCCTGTCTCTCTTGCCTTCGGTCTGTCCTGTGAGTGTTAAATTTTCCAAGCCTTCTTTCCTCATTATGTACGCTAGAAAACTCTTCTCTTTTTGATGTTAAGTATAAGTTTCCTTTTTGTTCCCATTTTCTCTAAAACTTCGTAGTTGCTCACATATTCGGTCCATAATATCCTCAGCATCTTTATGTAGAACCACATTTATATTGCTTTGAGTCTCTTTTTCATCTTTAAGGAGATTGCTCAGCATTCGATGCCATATAGGAGGACAGATATCATGTAACAGTTCAGTATTCTTTTCTTTGTTTCTAAAGAAGATTTTTTTCCCTGTCTCTTAATACTCTGCTTAGCTTTTGGAAGGCATTTTTCGCTATCCCAATGCGTCTTCGGATTTCAGTGTCACACTTTCCGCCCCCTGTTAAAACATTTCCAAGATATTTAAATTTTTGTACTTGTTTGATTTTGGTATCTCCGATTTGTAACTTGCATTTTGGGATCATCCTTTTGCTAACGTCCATGCATTCTGTTGATGTTGAGTCTTTTTCTACTCGCTTTCCTTCATTCCCTTCCGTGGGAGATTTGTCGTTTTCTTTCTGGGTCTGCCTTAAACACTGTGTCATCGGCATTTCTTATTAAGTTTGTCGGCGCCAGTAATGAAACCTGGTAGGACTTCTAATTGCCTCCCCTACACGCAAGCCACCGATCTGCCACTGGGTGGCACGCCACTAGCGTTTACCGGCACTGCTAGCACTGGCGGACCGCTAGAGGCCCGCCGGTGGTTGCCACCAGATGACCACCGGCGTTGCCATCGGCGGTCCGCCAGTGGACCACTAGCGGCTTGTGTGTATGACTAGAATCGCCTCGCTGTGTAGGCTGAACAAACCCGGTGAGAAGTCACATCCTTGTCTTAGTCTCCTTTGTATTTTTTTATATATGTGCTGCACTCATTTTCTATCCGTATGCAGGCCGTTTGCTGCCAGTATAGGTTCTTGATTATTCTAATATCCTTACCAAATATATCAGAGTTGCTAAGCTGTTCCGATAGATCTTTGTGGTGTACATTATCGAACGTCTTTGTATTCAAGCAAAGACGATATCTCGGAAGCAATAAATACTGATGCCCTTTCTAATAATGATGCCAGTTTCTTTCGAAATTATTTTTAATAGCGTGAAGAGTTAACAATTTGATTATATCATTAATTTCTCTTCTAGTTAGACATGATAATTACAAAAAATAAATATGCTGTGAGCTTTATTAAAATAAAGTGGAACGATTATATCAATTCAATTTCTAGGTCTGCTGTCAAGAAGCTTGATTCACTGTGTCGGTGCCAGACAGTTTTTCCACATCGGAATCAATCTTGCGCCTTTATAAACCTAACACTCGCCAGTGCATTGAATATTGCTGCCATATCTTGTCTGGTTCTCCGGTCATATATCTCTAGATTCTAGCCAAAATCCAAAGAAGGGTCTGTAATCTTATCGATCTGGCATCTCGACTAAAGTCGCTTATCCACTGCCGTAACGTGGCTTCCGTCTGTTTTTCTATAAATATTTTCATGGTAGTTGCTCTAATGATCTCTCCTCCTCGATTGTCATTAGCCACTTTTATTTCTGTCCTATTTTATAGTATTAGAGTCCGGCATTGATTTCGTCCAGTTAACTGATGCTTCTGCCACGTTTAGGGATTGTGGGTTTTTTTTATTAATAGTATTATTTTGTTTAGTTTCTTGCAAATAGCTTTGTTCATTTTTGATAAATATTCATTAGGGTTTAGATTTTTTAAAATTATTATTTTATTTTTATTTGTTATGAATGTCGTTTTGGGGTTTTCAGAAGTGTAGGGAGTTTCCTTCTATAATGATGTCACAAACCCCACATCTTTTTTGTTGCATTTTGCGACTCTCTGGATTGTGTATTGGTTAAATTTGGATGAGGTTAGTTTGTGTTTTAGGTTTTTAGATTGGCGTTTGCTTTATAATTATTTTGGTTGTTTTTAGTATATTTTTCAGTTTGTCATTCTTGCTAACTATCTCTCTCTCTCTCTCTCTCTCTCTCTCTGTCCAGCTTTCAATTGTCGGTAGTGGATGCGCACTGATGATGAGTCCCAAATATAGGACGAAACGGCCGTCCAGTGCTTTTGCATTCTGTTGAGGTTTCTTTTTAGACTCGATGAATTATTTTAATTATAATTATCAAATCCTCCTTTCTATCATTTGTATATCATTGCTTGAACCGGTTTTAATAAAAAAGTTTGAGCGGCTTTGATAGCAAAAATAATGAGAG